TTATAAACAAGTCAAAAATATTATTATAAACATACCAAAAAATATTTCCTGTTTAACATTACATTATTTGAATTATTAATCGAATTTAAAGGGATCTAAAGATTATTTTTTAACAAAAAATGTGATGCTTTTCGAAAAAGTATTTAATAAATAAAATGACTGTTTTAAAAAATGACGCTTGAATGAATGATAAAAAAAAAAAAAAAAAAAAAAATGCATTGATGAAGGATCGATGGCATATTGGTCAGATTCTCTACGCGGGCAAAAGACGTAGTCCGCTCGACCAACGTCGAGCATACCCCTCTAAGATATAAGATTATATTTAAGGTGTTAGAGCGAGGGGAGCTTGGGTTAAAGGTAAAGGTAGGGGGAGCTCTCCCTCCACTGCTAGCTTGGACGGAGAGAGAGTAAAACCGTTGTGCGCATGCGCGAGAACTCTTGGTTGTTAGAAACACTGATTGGGGCCCTACTATACCTAATAAATGACGTTATAAGCGCAACAATTTGGTATTTAGGCACGTTCTCGTACGATAATAATGACTCACTCACTATAGACACTATTACTTATTCCCAAATAGTACATAGAAGCGCCATCTACTGTCTACTTTTGATCAGAGTTTTTTTCGCCACCAGTCCTATGTTAAATGGGCTTCTATAAGCGTCTATTTTCGTTGGTAATATCTCTATGACGGAATGTCGCAACTATATGGGTTCGTTCAAGCCCCTTTTGGTTCGGTTCGGTTCTCTTAACAAAATATACCTATATATAGGGAACCAAACAGAAGTGGTTCTGTATATACAGGTATATTTTGTTAGAGCGCTCGGTAGCTCAGTCGGCTAGGTCGTGGATCGACACGCGGGAGGCCGTGGTTCGATTCCCGGCCAGTGCGACTTTTTCGGGCAAGTACCTCTGTGACTTTCACATGTGCTTTTTTACCATGCAATGCTCTTTAAAGAGGGTTTTAGGCGACCTCCTTGCAGCAAAATTGCCTAATTTCCCCCTACCCCCCTCCCAGTCATAGGAGGCCTTCCATCCCTTTCCTTGTCCCTTTCCCCAGTGCTAAGTGCCCATAGTAGTGCCCTCATTAAAGGAGCCGGACGTAGAGCACTATAATATTTAAAAAAAGGTATATTTTGGGTGTAATCCGCAATCGCTGACAGCAGTTACAGATGTAAGACGTGACAACGTTGCGTGGTTGGGGGCGCTACTGTCGATTTACTGATGATGTGATCCGCAATCCCGCCAGCAGTTAAGCAGACGACGTCGGTCTACTTGCTCTTTTTCGTGACATTTTCTGATTGTAAACAAAGCATATTGTGCTAGACGTAAATAAACACGCAGACCAAAAAAATAGTTTCAAGTGCCAAAAAGAAAAATGGAAATAACAGCTTTACTGCTAGCGGGATTGCGCGGGATCACAGCAAAAATCTCACGAAAAAGAGTAAGTAGACCGACGTTGTCTGCTTTACTGCTGGCAGGATTGCGGATCACATCACCAGTAAATCGACAGTAGCGCCCCCAACCACGCAACGTTGTCACGTCTTACATATGTAACTGCTGGCGGCGATTGCAGATTACACCCTTTGTTAAGAGAACCGAACCAAACCAAAAGGGGCTTGAACAAATCTTATGTAAACTGTGACATAATGTAACGAACATACAAGATTTGTTCACCTTACAATTCAGGGACGGTCGGGGACAGTCTGGGCGAGTCGGAGACGAAAGTGAACAAGTGCTCTTCTCCGATCGTCCCCGTACACGAAGCGCAGTTGTACATGTTAGGTTAGGTTAATGCTGTATGTAAACAATAGTTTGTAAATAAAGAAGTGCAAATACAAAAAAGTTTGTTTACTTTTTGCATTAACCTAACCTAAAGTGTACAACTGCGCATCGTGTACGGTCAGGGACGATCGGGGACGATCGGAGAAGAGCACTTGTTCACTTTCGTCTCCGACTCGCCCAGACTGTCCTCGACCGTCCCTGGATTGTAAAGTGAACAAATCTCTAAAAACAAACAAATTGTTTTAGGCATGATTCAGAATTTTTGTTTAGAAAATGATATAAATTACATACATTAAATGTAGAATCATTAGAACTAAGATGGCAGAGCGTGACCGGTTTTATCGGTTGGATACACTGTATTACAACATCTAATATTAATGTAAAATATTTTCACTGAACCTACATTTATTATCTACATATTAATAGATGAGTAATAGTAGAGAAATAATTACACGCAACAATGTCCATGTACAGTAGGTACTCACATGCATCGAGAATCGACCTAACGATATCCGTGCGCCCGTGCTCCACTGCCCTACGAAGATTTTCACATACTTCCTGCATGCTTTTTTTTATCCTTGGAAAGGCACTTGTCTTCCAGCAAACTAAAAGTGAGCCCTAAAGACGTAGGGTTATACCTTAAGCTACTTCAAGCTTCAAGTCCCTAATCAACCTCTACCGCATGACTAACAGTATACTGCAGTCTTCATCACCTGCGCCCACGTTACCGTAACCTCTTATTTCCAACTTCTCTGTGTTGCGGATGTAAATCTTGTGATGCAATGCGCAGTATGAAAACTTGTATATTTCTGAGTGTAAAACAATGAAATTTATGGAGGAACTAACACCCTTACAATCTCGCTTCTATTCTTAAAATGTTTTTTCGCATTTTTACACTAAACAATATTATTCCGACCATTTCACACATCTCCACTTGCTCTCGGCTCTGGGACTTCGAAGCTTCGACTGACCGGCATATGATGATATGATCATAACACAAACACGCATGCACTACCCTGCTTAAGAGGTACGCATATATATATGACTTTCTGCTTCCTACATAATGTACTAGACTACAGAGTCGTGGGACTCGTGAGAGTGATTTGAAAGTTAGCTTAATATTGTGAAATATATTGATAAATGTTGAACAATTATGGTCCTTATTTTATCGGTATATTTCAATCATTACAATGAGATATTTTACAGTATTTTTAACCGCTTAAAATAACTAAATGAAGTTTACAACTGCAGTGGTAAGAGTACTTGAGTAAGTAGTAAACAAAACATATTTTGTACAGTAAGTAACTATGTAGGTATGTGCATCATCTCAGCTGATGAAGAAGCGAGAGGGATTACATATGTAAATGCAATTGCAAATGCTCGGTAGGTAGGTAGCTATTTTACTAAACAGCTTTGGAGCAAGGTACTTATACCATTGCACACTTGCAGCACCGACTCCACTAAATATCTCAATTGATACTCTGGCTCCGAACGGAAAAACTTAAAAGACTCTTCGGCGACACGTCTCAATTCTCAAATTACTTCATTGCAGACCGATGCCGAGGAGAAAAATCTACATGTATAATACAAGAATACTTAATTGGCCAATGAAATACAAGCGTGGTCAAGTATATAATGTATACTTACAATTTACAACTAATGACTTATAAGAAGCCATAGTGGCCAAACGCCATACCTACATGTACTTACCCAATAATAACCCAATGCTTCTATGCACACTTACACACAGATATAGATTGTTTTTGAAAGATCATTTTTTTGTCTTTTATTCCACAGCAGCTGACTCATGTGTATAAATGTTGTGTATCTTGCAGGTAAGAAGTAGAGGAGTCCTCATGCACTAATGCACAGATGCACCATGCACCTTTTCAGTCCACGGAAACTTATGCTATGTTATACTTGTAGTAGATTTTTAATTATTTAATTCCTTATTAAAGTCAGAAACGCTATTGCAACTTATCAGTATATTAACCGCATATTAATACAGTTTTACTGCATAAGTATACGATTTACTGATTATTTAATTGTAAATTAACGATATCACCTTGTTGTCGTTCATCATTTTTTTTTTTTTTTTTATGCTAAGAAAATCTATTAGCAAAGATTCGAAGGTGCGTCAATTAAAATGTTACACTCATGTAGATATAGAATTCGAGTAGCCCACAGTGCCTGCGACCTAAGTCGTTAGAGATATCTGTATGCCAACCATCCGTTACCGAGTTCGTCGCCACCACGTACCATGACAAGGAAGTACATGCTCGTAAGCCTGCTGTTAGCATCAGGACTCGTGCTCCTGATTATACTGTTCGCTGGCCCGACAGCCGAGGAAGCGCATCAGCTTCGGCGGGTCGCGGTGCGTGCATCAGCGGCTAACAATCTTGCAAGTGACCTGCAGGCCTTGCAGCCGGGAAGTAGCCTAGCCATCGACAGGCCGACGAGGATACTTAACTTTACAGACTTTCGTCTCGTGCTTGATGCCAAGTGCAACCACTTGGGCGAGGAAAATGTCGAGGATTGGCAGGTCGACAGCGGTGGCACGGCTAAGGCCGTCTGGATAATCACCTCCTACGCTGGCGACACTTCCAAGAGAAGTGCTCTGAGACGCGCCTACACCAGTGAAGAGCTTAAGCAGCTCGGGGTCCGAAGAATCTTTTTGCTGGGTAGCCTGGACGACAACGCGAAGATAAAGACCGGAGTCACTCAGGAAGCTATTGAAAATGAGGCACACAGGTATCGAGACATTGTGCAGGGAAACTTTGTCGAGGCTTACAGGAATCTGACGTACAAGCACCTCATGGGCTTACAGTGGGCTGCCGAGAGGTGTGGAGACAGCTACTCGCTGATCATGAAAATGGATGATGATATTGTTGTCAATTTGTACGAGGCAATGGACCTGCTGACAAACAAGTACAACACCAATTTCCAGGAAGATTTTTTGATAGGTTACGTCATGGAGAACATGAGTCCTGTGAGAAATACAGCTAGCAAATGGTTTGTAAAAGAGGAGGAATTTCCAAACGAAGTCTATCCAGATTTTTTGTCTGGTTGGTTTTATGCCATTGATATACGGGCAGCCTTGAAACTGATTTACCAAAGTAAGCATCACTTCAACTACTTTTGGATTGATGATCTATTTGTCACAGGCATTTTAAGGGAAGAAATTGGGATCCAGAATTTCATCAACATCAAAGATTTGTTTACAACTGACTACAGATTTTTAGAATGTTGTCTCAAGTATACAGAAAGTCAGCCTAAGTATAAATGCGATTTTATCTTTGGTCCGGATGGTGCACAGAAAGATTTAGTGCTTACTTTCAAAGAGTACAGCAAAGACTGTTATCAGAGATACAATTGCACGAGACGTCCTAAAGAGCAGTTACTCAAAAATAAATGTATTTTAAATTACAAGAATATAAATCTTGCTACAGGAAGGGCCCAGATCGAATCATTAGCATAGTGCCAAACTCAGTATTTTAAAAATATAGTTATTTTATTAATATCTGTTTATCATAACGTTATTATTACTAAATAACTGACAAAACTTTTATACTTTTACACTCTTTGGAAATTTTTTGTAATTTACTGAAAAAATATGCTTTTTTATAATAAATCACATAACTGCAATGAATTGGCGTTGGTTTAATCACATACACAAGTCAACCACCATCTCACAAACAATAAGCTTCTATCTCTTATTTATCTGGAAGGTTGCTCCGATGCACAAGTGATCACTTCCCACAAATGAATTAGGTATTGTTCGAAGAACATCTGAACACTCATTTGCCACGGGTAATGTGTACTTTTCGATGGGTTTCATACTACTGTAAAATATGTAATCTACAGTTATCCATTCATCTTGATATGTGGTTGCTTCTTGCAACCCATCTTTGCCAAAGTGTTGATATACACTCTTGAATTGAAATGGATGTGTTAACAGGCCTGAAGAAAATGTAGCATAATGTCCTGTTGCAACTTCCACTTTTTGGTAAGTTGTTTTGTTAAAATCAACCAAGTTTTTCTCTTCAGGATGGAGTGAATTGAAATCTGCAAAGTCCTTGTTTTCTACGTTGGTCAGCTGAAAATCATAAATCGAACTTACTAAGACTAATTAAAATTAATCAAAATAACTTGTTTTTTTAAGGATTTTATAAAAAGTTGCTTGGTAAATAGAGTTTTAAAACAAAAAACTTGTTACCCCCAAGGTTTCAAATGTTGAAATTTTTTTTAACAATTCTCTCAACTCTCAGACTTTATAGGAGTCAACATAATGTAAAAAAAGCATAGGTGACAAAAAAGCGTTGGATAAATCTTACCATTACTTTTCCACTTCCTTTTCCAGATAATCTTCTCGCAAGTATATTTAAATGTTGACATTCATCTGTTACATACAAATGAGGAGGAATCAATGAATTTGTCAAGCAGCGATAGTCACACTTTTCTAAATTTGGTCCTTTTCCCTTAAACTCTATTGAACCTTCTGTAATGAATTTATAGACTCCACTGTTGGGCACCAGATTAAAGTCGCCTGATAAAACAATAGGAAGATACTGTGGGCCTAATCTGTAAATTAAAATCAACTTTCATATCTTAGAATAAACGCATCACTTATACATTGCAAAAAACTGCTCAATACTTACTCAGTATTTCGGATGAAAGATATTCGTTCGATTTCTGCAAATAATAATTGAACCTGTCCCAGTCTAACGTCATTTCTTCTGGGATTGTACAGTAAATGAGTTGTTGCAACGACAAACTTCATTTCTGGATCATTTTTCACCGAAAATTTGGCTATTAAAGCAACGTTATCCCTACTTAATAGTTCAATGCCAAATTGATACAATTCGACTTTTGAAAATTCTAACAAATTAAATAAATCTTTTTTGTAAAGTAACAGTAGTCCATCCGTTTTTCCGCCTGTACGTTTTTTGTACAAATGTGTGAACCCACTTTCTTGAAAAGGAACCAAGAAATCTTTCAAATGTTTCTCCTGTACTTCTTGAAGACAAATAATCTGTAACATAGTGATCAATGTAATGATGAGCAGTTTTTGACATTGCATTATAACAATAAGTAATTCACTCACATCTGCCTTGGATTCCATTATTTCTTTAAGTATTAGTGGTTTTCTTGTTTCCCATGGCAAATCTTCTTCGTTATGATATTTGTATAGATGGTAGTGAGTTTCAAGTAAGTCTTGGGCTAGAATATTGTAAGACAGAAGTTTCAAAGTGAATGATTCTTCAGAGTTACATGTAGTTTCTGAAAAAGGAAAAAAAAATTTATTACTTGTACAATGAAACTGAAAAGTGATAGTATTATTCAGATTTAAGTATTGACAATATCCTTAACGTTGTACTTAACATTGTCTTTTTTTTCTAAGTAATCAGACTGATATTTTGAGATGTATCACAAATCATCACAAGGAGATAACTTGGTAGAGATTCTTTAAGAAACTAAAAAGTTTCACATAGCTTACCTTCTATTCGTTTCCACCCTCTTATTCCTTTGTATTTGCTTTTGTCTAATGAGCGTTTCCTTGTCATGCTATTTCTGCTGCCATCATTATGATTACCATCGATGCAATTGACATTTTCATCCATGTTGTCAGTAATTTTCATTTTCTGAAGTGCGTTATGCAAATGTTCGTTGTTGAACTCCAATGTTTCGTTTACAACTTTACTGCATTCCAGCTTATCCATGAAGGAGGGCTTTTGAGAACTTTCCATAGAAGGTTTGGACACTAGTAATGATGACGCCGAGGTAGAAATCTGCAAGCAGTCATTAATTTACAGTAAGAAAAATAATCGTAGTTAAAAAACGAACTCAAGAATAAATAAGTACACCTGTAATCAGTGTACTTTTTAGGAACGCTTAGAGGCAGGGTGTTGTAAAGCAGATTTTAGGCTGTCATACAACTTACAAAGGATCGCAAAAGTACAAAGAAAAAGAAAGAAAAAGAGAAAGACCAAGCCTACATTAAAGTGGCGATGAGGTATTGTCTGCAAGTAGACCTTGGGGTAGTAGGCACTGATAGCTTGAGAGGCTGGTGCCAAGAACCTTGTGGTCCGACTCATTTAATCGAATCGTTGGCTGTGGGTCGCTTGCAATGGATACACAACTCTGGCTGCAGCCACGTATCTTTGACTGACCACACACTTTTTTCTCGTGTATACCAAAAGAAAAGACACAACAACTCTAATCCAGCTGGACAACCTCCTGCAGGCAACTGTATATATAATGGGTAGTCTCCCCCCTCTTTCTCTCTCTCTTTCTTTTGCTCAGAACTGCACGCTAACGAAACCAAGACTACCCGTAAGTACAGACTGGTCTCTTATGATTGTCTGCCAGTAGAGTCCTTTAAATTGAGGTGGTGCACTCACGGCAGTGTCAGCTAGACAGCAGACGAGTGCTGCAACGAGCATGGGGACTATTGAAGACGACGGGGCTACCTCTACAGCATCAACTACACACCAGCTTCGAAGGTGCCTCATTGGTATCCTCATGAAGCTATATGCAAGAATGAGGAGCGAGTAATAGACTGGCAAAAGAATCACGTAAGACGGGGGTCACAAGAGTGCAGGCACACAGCACCAGGAACTTCGTCGGCACGGATAAGCCCAAAACAAAACTGTTATGCAGGTACCGTACCTATAACAGGCTGTTAGCGCATTAGGCCGTTACGCTGCTATCAGTTTCGTTTAATGCAGCATTAATTCTGTACTTCTGTTGTACTTCTACAGGGAAGTTTACCGTTTCTGTCTTCCTCGACCGCGTAATACACTTGCACATTCAGAGCTCCAAGATAACTGAAATAAATAGGTATATTTCTATTTTCTGTAGTTCCCTGTTAAGCCTTTAGCTTAGGTGCGGGGTGCAGGGTGCAGATCTGAGGTCTTAACTCTCGAGAATTCGAGGAGGCTCGAATCTTTTTGATCTTGAGTAAGTATAAGATTAGGGTACAGTAGGTAAGCACGAGCACTTTTAGAAAAAAGCACATGGCTCAATTTTTTTTTCTTTTATAGGAGTGAGAGTACTCTTACTAACCAAAATGACTCATTCTCCTTTCGGTTGCAGTGATGACATAACTTTAATAATGGCTATATATTTACCTACCAATACTTTTCTAAATGTAAATAGAGTATACAGCGACTTTGAAAATGTTTCCAGAAAATTAAATTGAAAGACAAAACTTATCAAGCCAGAAACTAGACAAAAAATATATGGGTTATTCTATGAAAAACGCAATATTTTGTAGACTGGAAATTCCAGTCTGGAATGGACAAAGACGAAAGGGTAATGGATTCGTCAATTTTTTTAACGTCATGAATTTCTCTCGTATTGTGACTTGTGACGTTGTGACCAGTGGCGGGGTGGTGAATTTTATGTCGTGTAGTAAATTCATTTGATGCGACTCGTTGCAAAGGAATGTGTGCAATGTGATTTTTGGGAACCGACCGATCGGAAGGCTTAAGGCTGCAGTCACATGGAGGTCAATAAAGCGTGCAGGATACATGGTGAGTCCATCAGCCACCGAACTGATCAACCAATCAGGACGTTGGATCTTGCGACCTTCCATCTTGCATTTTCTACCAATGAGAGCAGAGAGCGCGTAGTTCGGTTAGAGCATATATAATATTCTTGGCGTCTGCTGCGCGATGTAAATAATTGAACTTATTGTATAAGTTTCAGTGCGTGTACTTGTAAATAGAATTATTATGACGGAATGAACTGTAAAAAAGTGTAAAAATCGCAGCAAAAGTGTTACTGGGTTATTGGTAATTAGATTACTAATTTTCAATATTCATTATCACAACTTCATGTTTCTAAAAATTTTTTGTTCATCGTCAACTACAAGTCACAACCTAACCACGCGCTCTCTGCTCTCATTGGTAGAAAATGCAAGATGGAAGGTCGCAAGATCCAACATCCTGATTAGTTGATCAGTTCGGTGGCTGATGGACTCACCTCTAGTTTTATTACACCATGGCAGTATAGAATTGTCCCTATAAGGAACTGTGTTAAGTCTATGGAGCTATTCACATAGACATTTTTTGCTTATTTCATTGTGAACGTTTATATTGAAATGGGGTTCCACTATTCCGCTAAACTCAAAAAGAGTGAACAGAATGAGCAGACCTATACGTCTTTTTCCATCAGGCAACAAAGCCTATAACAGGGTTGTTAATAAAAGTTGCTTTTTAGAATTAGAAGTTTTAAAAGTTTTAAAACTTTTAAAAGTTCTGTTTTGTTTGCTACAATCTATATAGCTATAGCTATAAGGCATAGGGTCTATAGAGTATAGAGGTAATGCGTGTTGTGCTCTCCTACTGTAACTAGTGTACGAACCCTTATTCTTTATTGTCAATCAGTTGATGCCAGAGATCTCAGAAGTGATAGAATAACTTGGCAAAAAATTCAGATGGACTATATGAGGCATGACGCAGAAACCCAGAGAACACTTTTATGCATAATAAATTAATAAATTAAACCCAAGCTATTCAACCCAATGACCAAGCTCACTTACTGGTGAATGTATTGAATAATTAATTGCTCAATTTGATAACAAAAGCGCCTTTCACCCAATGACCCGGGGCGCTTACTAACAAACGTATTAGAAAATTAATTATTAAATTAATTAACAAAAGCACCTATAACCCAATAACCCAGGGCGCTTACTGGCCACTCTGTTGAATAAATAATTATTAAAATGACAAAAGCACCTATCACCTCTAACCCGAGACACATACTAGCCACTCTGTTCCATAAATAATTTTCAAGAACACAAGCGCCTATCACCCAATGACTCGTAGCACTTACTGGACTTTCTGTTAAATAAATATTTATTAAAATAACAACACCGCCTATTACCTCATGACTCGGGGCGCTAACAATACACTCTGTTTAATAAATAATTATTAAAATGCCTATCACCTGTTGATCCAAGGCGCTTACAGGCCACTCTGTTAAATGAATAATT